GAGTGTGTATAGAGACCTCTAACTTTGGGGCTTATTACAGGGATAAGTGTGTATTTAGTGGGTCGTAACCCGTTAATTTTAAAGGGATATTTATTATACGGTTAAGCGATTTATGCATTTGTAATTTATACAATGATCGGACCTGTTAGAAATTAAAAAGAGAGTGTAATTAAATTTATATCTCAACGTTCGCGATTAAATTAAGATATTAAGACGCATATAATTATTCATTGAATAACCGTATGCAAACTATACAAGAGATAAATTAATACCATCGAAAGAGTATTATATTATAACGCTTGTATCAATGACATTAATGCTGCAATAATAAAAAATAATCACGTTCACACGGCGTTTGTGACAGGCAATTTAACAGCACCACTGTGGTGGCCGTGGATACGTTTTTTTCCGGTACCTACTCCCTTAATATGGGTGGTAAGTATATAGTTGGTATGGTTTTCGATTCAAAAAATATAATATATTTCCATGGTAAAATCACGTTCGGCGTGCCGTGGCTTTTTGCAGGATGGTCGGCTATTTACGTAGTTACTAAACGACGACTGCCGCCGCCATTGACGTTTAAAATTAAAATAATAAGTCGCGGTTTCGATTGTTGTGGGTATATTCTTTGCTCTTTGCCCCTCCCCCCTCAAATTCACGCCGATGCGATGTGACTGCTCGATACGACGAGGGCCCTGCAGTATATAAATAGCAATCGAGAGAAATAGAGATAAAAAAAAGAAAAGAAAATGCCACGGTTATATGGGCGAACGACGACGAATCGAGTATGTATTATCGAGTATGTGTGTGTGTGTGGAGTGTGTATAGAGAGAGAGATCGAACACGTATACACTCGATTTCGACCGTGTTGATTTCGTCGTTTTACTCGATATTTATCACCCGAAAAAGTCCAAACGACGTACACATAACATATATTGTGTATCGTACATTATGCACGCGTGTAAACGCCGCTCGAAAAAAGCGTATAAAAAATGTACGACTAATTTCAACGGTCTCGCGGTGTCCGTTCGGTCGGTACTCGGCAATAAACCACGCAGTATACCCCTAGGTAAGTATATATATTATCTACCAGATACTGTTATTTTATCGCGATGGTATATGTTTTCCTAGCTATCGATAATCCCCCGAGGATCAGCGTATTTTATCTGACAACGCCGTCACTAATTATTAACGTCACATTAAATATTATATGAACAATATACGTTATAAATACACACATTAAGCTGCATAGCTGTCGCGGCGGGACAAATAATAATCTATCGGGGACGAGGTGGCCGAGCGGTCCAACGCGTCGGCTGCGACTATAATATGCGTTTATAATTTTACCGATTACCAGACGGTTAAAAAAGAAGTATAGTTAAAAATATTTATCAAATACCTACGCATTAAAATTATATCCAATTATCATGATAATAATTTAATTTTATGTAACCAGTGGCAATTATATTTATTTATCAAAAAAAAAAAAAAAAAAATACTATTAACAAAAATATATTTATGATTCATAGATTTTCTTTGAAGAAGAAAAATATCGAGTTTTATGCTATATACTACTAATTTCTAGATTCTACTATCACTATATATCACTATAATTATAGTACTATAATCAGTAACGAATGGAAACCCTTTGTAAAAAATAAAAAATGTTCGATTTTCCTCGTGAATCTAAAAAGTTCTGTGAGAGCACCTCATTAAAATTGGAATTTTGGAAAATCTCTTCCACAATCATTACTGCTTTATAGGCCGTATTGGTCAAATATTTTTTTTTTTTGGCCTGCAATAAAAATTTTCCGTCAGCTCGCAAAACATAATATATCTCAGCTCTTGTGCAACTGTGTACAGTTTTCGGGCGTAGGTAGGTACATCAAAACAAAATTTAATACGAATTTCGATAATTTTTTACTGTATATACCATTATAATATGAACCGCAGCTGTGTGAATATTATATAATATAGTTTTCAATATTGTACAATAATACGCGCGGGACGAATACGACATAATAGGTATAATACGCATTTTCGTTAGGTACCTATATAGCGATGTGGGACATTTTTTTTTCGCCATGATATACATAAAGGGATTAGGCACACGTTACACTCATTAATGTTTTTTGCGGGGGCACGGCTTAATAATATTATTATATATTTTGCATTTTTAAACTTGTTTTCCGCGCCACCGCATCGTCGCTCGTATATGTATAAATAAATCCGGATTATGCACGCGTAATAATATGTACATATATAGGTATATCGTGCAGACGCATTATGGATATTGTGACGGGATTTATATATGTAGATTGGTCGGTCTAGGGAGGCGGCTCATGGGCGCCCATTGGGGGGGGCAAGACAGGGCACTTACCCCCCCCCCCTGGAAAAAAAATTTAAGGAATTTGTAGCTCAATAAATATTACCACAATATTACCTTATTACCGAGGAAAATTATTTGTTGAAATCACTTTTAGATATGAAATAAGTATAAAAATATACTCATTGTTTGAAAATTGGTTACAAATATACCACTTTTGTGTGATACTCGTTGGTCTGCGAAATATAAATCTATTTTAGAAAAACTATCTCATAATAATGACTCAGATTTTAAAGTTAACACCACTACTTGCACAAAAGCACACAAACTATTATGTGCGACATCAACATCACAATTTATTATATCCTTAATTATTATATCCAAATACTCAGCTCAATTAGAACCAGTTACAAATAAATTGCAGGCAAAGTCTATTGATTTATACTCGGTCCAAAATCATATTCAAGATTTATTAACTATATTTAATAATAATAGAGAACAATCAGATATCGTTTTTAATGATATTTTTAATAACTCCGTATTTATGGCAGAAAAAATTGGCGCAGATATTAAAATTCCACGTATTACATCCAAACAAAAAAATAGATCAAATTACGAAACCGATTCTGCTGAACACTATTACAGACTCTCTATTTTTATTCCGTACTTAGATTCACTAATATCATCTCTTTCACGACGATTTTCAAGTAAAAATAAAATAGCATTCTCAATAAGTCTACTGCATCCTACAAATATTAAAAAGTACACCATTAATGATTTCAAAGAAAAAATTAAGCTGATTAGTGATCATGAAGTTGAAAATATGATAGAGGAATCTAATATTTGGTATCAGTATTGGATTGATAAAAATTTGACTGACTCCCAGTGTGATGAAATTTCGTTTGTTGATTTATTGGCTCATTGCGAATATTATCCTGCTATTTTTCAAATACTTAATATTTTTATATCGCTACCGTTACCGTATCGTTACCGTACCGTCTACCGCAGCAATGTGTGCGTACCTTAAGGGTTGTCATCGTCTCCGCCGTGCGTGGTTTTTTTGTCTCTCTTTACGTGTATTATTATATTTATATATATACAATGTTTATAATGCTACTGTGTAAATATCGTAATATTTTCCCCTCCCGAGGATATCTGGTGTTCGTCTAGGCATATTATGATGATGTCTCGAGGAAGAGGAAAATGAAAACACAACAATGACTCACTTTATATTATATATATATATATATATATATATATATATATATATATATATATATATATATATATATATATATATATTTATATTGAATTATACGCGGTGTACACGTTACGACTTCTGGCTTATGTCGTTCAGAAACGACATATTATACTTAACGAGCAGTCAAATAAAAATAATAAAGCGAGAATTCTCACGAAAAATATTATTATCACCGTCGCTCAAAGAAATGTCTAGGTAAAATTAAAAATAAGTTAGGTTAAACTAACAAAAAAATTGTTAACATACGTCTTACAAACTATTTATTGATATCACAAATTAATATTCGTCAAATCAATCATTATCCCTATTAGTTTATTTTATCAAACTTATAGGTAGAATTAATGAAATGTTAATTAACATTACCATTCACCTTATTAATAATTATCAAACCATTTGTAACATTAACAAACTTGCTAGTTATTGTTACCTACCTAAGATGATACTATAGGTAGAATCTAGCAAATTCATGGGTAAGATTAATGAAATGTTTATTAACATTACCATTCACCTTATTAATAATTATCAAACCATTTGTAACATTAACAAACTTCCTAATTATTGTTACCTAAGACAATACTATAGGTAAGTTCAATAAACTAATTGTTTATAATACAAATTGGTGTTTTCGTCAATTATTATATGCTCTGGATAGCAGATACCTACAAATTAAAAAAAAAAAAATTCTGCTTGAGAATGATATTCCCCCCCCCCTTAAAACATTTAAAACTGCTTTAATTCATGTTCAATAATGATAGGTAATACAAATATAAAATAAAATAAAAGAAACTATGCTTTACTGATTTATTATAACTATAATTATTTATTTATTATTTTTTTTCAAACAAAAGCTTTTAGTACATAGAAAATAATAATACAAATTAAAAATCATAATGAAAAAACTAGATAACCCATGAGATAACTGTTGCATCTACAATGTTGCAATTACAAAATAAAAATATATAAGTACTCATAAATTATAAATGTTGTGTTTGTAAAAGAAAAAAAAATTAAAACGGCACTCGTAGTACAGGTAAGTTTTAAATATTATAATTTGCATCCAATTCTGAGCAAATTTCCTTTATTAAGCTACAACTTTTATCATATTTGGTATGAATTTCATAAAAATAAACTTGCAAAAATAACCACACGTTACTTGATTCATTTGGATATTCGAGATTAAATACATGAAAGAGCTTAAAACATATATCGACAGCTTTATAAACAGAAAACAACTTGTATCTAACATCATTGAAATAAACTAATATTTGTTTAGGGTTTAATAACGAGCCAACAACTAGTATACATGGTTGTATATTATTTTCTTGTTTCTTTAGTTTTTCAATGATAACTTCTAATTCCAGTGGAGTAGTTGCTTCTATGATAAATGTATTTTGTGAATCTTTTATTGAATATTTAATGAAAGATTTTTTTCCGTTGTCTCAGGTAATTTTTTTTTTTTGATGTAGGTATAAATAAAGAATGCAACAAATAGAATATAGTTAAATTTTTCCCATCTAAAACAATATAATATGTGCTTATTAATTATTTTATAAATTAAAATTATAATTACATAGGAAATAAGTTTAAGTGCCAATAAATGGAAGATGCTGTGGTGATCAAACATTTGAATAAACTTTAGACATAGAACTGGAGTATTATAAATTATAATAATGAAAATAGTGGGATTAAATTACTAAGACACAGTGATTAAGGAAAACAACTTCAGTCGTCACTCGATAATTCAAAATTCAGAGGACTAAGCTAACAATTAAATTTATAAAGGTTTTTAAATTTACCGAGGTTTGGTAATGAAAATGTTATTACATACTTACATACATTGTATTTATTATTTACTATCCATTAATTGTTATTTATTAATACATATTTGTATATGTTATTTGTAGGATGGTCTTTTCGTTTGGGTATAGTTGAAAGTGCAGTAGCTGGGATACAATACCGTAGGGCAGCTTTTTTTTTTTTATTGAAGGGACCAAAATACATGCATCTTTTTCTTATTATAGTGATTTCTCAGGAGACCAAGTAATTAGTTCGGCTTATGGAGTTTTTCAAATTAACAAGTGACAACCATAGTCAATTATGTAGAAAATTAAAAATTTTATACCTACTTATTCATTAAAACTAACTTTCGCAGGAGTAAGATGATTCTTTCAATTGATTTAATAATATTTTACTTGCATTATCTTTTATTCTTTCATCAAAAATGTTCAATAGCAAAGATGACTTTATTTCAAACTTGGCAGATAAGTTTTTAAAATTTGGATATATGTGACAGAAATCTATCTCTACCTAAACAATATAAAATATTATTATTTTTAAATGTATGAGATATGTAAATAGATTTGATTTACAAATTATAGTTAATATATTGAAATAACATTTGTTTTAGTAACTTTTAGTAACGGAATACAATTTATAGAGTATGTTATTTACCAATTTATAGTCCATAGGTTGTGTTAACTGTATCCATTTTTTGAAAATAGATGCAGTATTTTTATTCTTAATATATTGAAGCCTGAAATTTGTAGTTTTCTTCCAAGTTGACTCAACTTCAGGCCAAGTTAAGTCTGGATCTTGTAAATTTACACACAAATCTTCAGAATCGGGTTCAATGTCTATGTACAATATAATATATAAAACATATTTAATACTAATTATAACTAATACATCAATAAGTATCAAAAAAAAATATGATGGATATAAAAATTTGTAAATATGACATTTAAAATTCTACCTTTAAAGGTAACATACAATTTAATATGTTTAATATGATATGTATTTGAAATTTAATATTAGGTATGACTCGTGGATAGGTAATAAGAAATATTAGTAGATTATTAAATCAACATTAAAGTTTACAGACATACCTAATTTTGAAAGCAAAAATTTAGCATTTATGAAAAATAAATTTGATTATAAAGAAATCAATTTTATATTTTCTATAGGTATTCATTATTAAAACATAAAATTAAGAAACTATAACAAAAAAATTTATAACACTTTATATATTACTTACCAAGTGAGTAATTAAGTTGGTCTTCAGATCTACAAATAATTATCTTATTATGGTCATGTGTTTTACTAGTTAATTTCAATCCAACACTTAGTAATCTATTCATCGTATTGAAATACTTTGAGTAAAGTTTACCTTTTGGAGCTTTACAAGATACATCCCTTAAAAAATATACATCCTAAAAAATGTATTCATCATTAGTTATTAAAAAAATATTAAAATCAAACTTAGGTTATAGTTAAAAATGTTCTACCTTTATTTCAGATGGAAATGAAAGTACAATAGCATTAGCTATATTATTGGATAGATTGATAGTCATAGTCTGATTTCTCTTAATCAAATCATTAATGATAATTTCCACAAGTAAAGTACGACATGATTCATTCATATGTTTTTGTTTATAATAATATTCTACAATCAATGGACCTTGGGTACTTAGAGTTAAAATTTTACTTAAATCAAAACAATTTCCAGGGAGATCATTTGTAGAGGAGTTTGATGAAACAACATTTTGAGTTGAGGTTGATGGAATGGACTTGGTTTCTAATAACGAACCATAAAGTTGTTCCTCCTGTTTTTTTTGATATTCATTGACATATTTTTCAAATTTAATTTGAATACCAAGTGGAAAGTTTGCCAACAATTTTTCAACATGTCTGTACTTCATATATTTTAAAACTTCAATATCTATAAACTTATCTAAAACAAAAATGAACTCACATTAAATTATATTTAGCTACATTTCCAATATAATACTGTAGTAATTTACTGAGCCTAATATAATATGCCATAAAATTTTCTTTTTTTGAAATAATAATAATTTATTTAATTAAGATAGTACAAACGTAATACAGGCAAATATTACAAATTTCCAATGAATAATTTACGATTTAAAAATAAAATTTGTTCATTATCTTACTGATTAATTGTAATAGTAGCTATTTTTAAGCACAGTATTGTACATAACTTATTGTCAATTATCACCCTACCCAATTCTTACCTATGCAAGTTTGATAAACACACTCAAGTTTCCACGATTTTAGGATGTTCCATATTTCCATACATTCATCATTATTCATGCAGGCAGTTGAGGAATTTTCATGATTTGTTAAAGAATTTCTTATAGAGGATGTCAGTCCACCAATCTCTGTATATGTTTCAGGTTCATAATTATTAGGACGTTCCAACCAATTGTCCATTGTACATTCCGGGGAATGTATTATATAAAAAGAATCTGTACATAGAAAAATATGATTTTATAATACACTATAAAAAAGGGAAGTTAGAAGGTACTTAGGTATATAATTTACAATGGATAACTTATAAATTAAATTTAAACAATATTTACATTAATATATTATACATTAAATATGTAAAAGTAATATTTAATAATATTCTTTTAATCTTATGAATAAATGCCCATTAATAGCTTCATTAATATTAATTGGAGGTCCATTACAATCTTCTGGATACAAAACAGTTTTTAATATTACATTTTTATTTGAATTAACTTTATAAGCAATTAAATTAGAACAATAAGCATCAATTTCGATTTGATGTACTATAAAGAGAACTACCAAAGTATTCATGTTAAAAACTATTTCTAAAATCTCATAAAGACATACTTCATCAACAAAGTTTGTTAAAAATTATCCAGTTTTAAATGTTGTACCCTTATACTTAACTTGAGAGTAACTTATTAAATAATCAGACGGATAGCCAAAAATTCTATGTAAAAATGTAGTATTGTTACTTATTATTTTATGTATTTCATTAATTTCAATATTTTTGTTATTTATATTGTTTAATATGTTGGATGCATAACTATATTGATACTTTTTTGCTAATGATAATGTAATACTTTTTCTTGAACTAATATTGCGAGCATATGTTTTTAAATCTTTATGTTTAGCTTCAAACCTAAAACACCAAAAATGTTTAGGAGGGCCAGATTTTTGAATAATTGATGGATAGTGTAATAGAATATGATGCTTTGGTTTCAAAGTGTCTTGAAAAAGTAAAACATAATTCAAATTATGATACTTAATAAGTTGTTCTAAACAGACAATTGAGTTTTCTTTAATTTGGTATGAAAGGAGAATAGATATTATTTCTGAAAAATTTAAAGAAAACATCCATACTGGATTATCATCTGGGACTAAGTCACCAGTAATTAAAGAAAAAAAGTGAACAAATGTCATCATTTCTCGGGCAGTCATTTTTAAGTGAAATTGTTTAATATTATTTAATTTAATAGGAGGGGAGATGTTGCCAATTTCAATACAACCATAATTAAAGTTTTGTTTTCTTAAATTTAAAGTATATAATGAGAAAATGTGTACACTCTCTGTGTAATATTTAATAATGTGGCACAGGTTGTAATGACAGATGCCTTCAAAAATATCATGCATCAAATCAACACTAAAATTTGTTGTTGAGTTAAAAATTGGCTCTTTATAAATACCAGTTAATTTGAAATCATTTGTTTTAATATCTTCTCTATAGTTTGCAGGATTGTGTTAAGTGTTTAAAAATGAAAACCTACAGAAAAATAAAATATAAATATTCGATTTTTAATTTTTGACTACAGATTCAGACAACAAATATGCTAATATATAGGTATACCAACTGCATTATAGTAGGTAGTCTCATTCGTATATTAGTATTACTATTATATTACTATTACGTACCTTATAAATATGAAGACGAATCAACAGGTAATACTATTCAGTATTCACAGAGTCACTTCAACCACAGTCATAAATGGCAGGCCCGGCTCAAGGGGTAGGCGACATAGGCCCACGCCTAGGGCGGCACTTCAGCAGCACTATAGTAAGTATAGGCGGCATTATCAAAATATAATTTTAAATAATATTATATTGTTAGGGGCAGAAAAATTTGATTTTGCCTAGTTCACTATTTTTGCTTGAGGCGGTCCTGCATAAATGCGCGTTATTACGTTAACAAAATACACGAAAATATTAAATTATATGAAATTACGTATCGGTGACCGATGTCGGTAGGTAGGTACTCGGACGTTGTGACTTGTGACGACTGGCGAGTGGCGAGAGACGAACCGATACCGCCCGAGTGCCCGACCATCGAGTTATCAACAATAATTTATAGGAAAACCCAATGTATCAGTATTAGAAAATATATAAATAATTCTATCTCGATGTGTATAAATAATTATATATTGTCGGTTACAGCCAGGTAGCCAAGGGGGGGCCTGGGTGGGCCGGGCCCACCTTAAATTTACTCTGGCCCAGGGCCGGCCCCCCCTGAAATTCAAAATATAATTATTTTACCAATTATCAAAAATGTGATTGTGCACATTGAAATAAATATATTGTGATTATACAACTACTATATATGATATAGTGGTATAGTGTGATATTACTATAGGTAATACAATTATTATTATAATAATTCATTCTTATATACGTGGATAACGTTTCTGAAAAAAAAAAATAATAAGGTATTGATAGACATACCAGTTTCATAGACAATAATAGATAATAGACTAGACGGCAGCCGGGCAGCTTGCAGTCATCGGTGCATACCCGGCGTCGTTATTAAATAATTTAATTTTATGAACACTTTCAACGCCGTGGACGTAATGGCGGTAGGTTTTAGTTTTTATTATTTTTAGATATCGATAATCGTTGTTTCTGATTATTGTTGTTTATTTTCCCAGAACAATATACTATATAATAGATAATATGTATTATGTTTATAATATATAGAGTATATAAAAGCTAAAAGACTCCATATTTCCACTAATACTTCAAAATAAACAAACATAGAACTATATTATTATCTAAGTTACAACATAATATTAATCAATATAATTAATCAATAATATTTTTTTAATCAGGTACCATATATATTTGTAATACTGTAGTCTGTAATAGAACTTGTTGAGAAAACATTTTTTTTAACCAACTACCAATCAAAGGTAAATTATAAATTAATAAGATTCTTTATACGGCATACCGTCTAGTGATGAGTGTGAAAGGGAAGCCCCCTTCAAGTATTTCATTGGAAAAAATTATGGAAAATGATAAAAGGGCCAACAATTATTGGCCCCCCTAGTAGAAATATTCTGGCTACGTGCCTGGTCGGTTATTCGATGTATTAATAAATCGTTGTAAGTAATTGGTTTTGAGTTAAAACAATGTAAAAGTTTATTGTATTAACAGGGGAGTCATTCAGTCATTGTATTAACAATGGAATAGGCATGGTCAATCAAATTAACCAGAGGGTTCATTAAAATATCCAAGACAAATTATGTTAAAACTATATAATATTTGTAGTTTCCCTATGAAATAGTTTAATTGTATACATATTAACAAATTAAGTTTATTGATGTTGCCAAAAATGTAATTAAATGAAACAATCAGTTTGTTATAATAAAAATATATTTATAGTTTCAACAATAATTAGTGTGTTACCTAATGACTAACTAACCTAATTTATTAATACTACCCAACATATTTCTCTGGGTGATGATATATACATATGTATAGTCAATTTTTCGTCTAATGTTATCTCAACCATCGTCACACATATTTGAGGAGGTTAATTGATTTATGAAGCAGTCGTGTCAGCGTTATAGACCGTGTGCTATTTTTGTCGAATGTTTGTTTTTTTTGGCCTGCAATAAATTTTCCGACAGCTCGCAAAACATAATATATCGCACCTCTTGTGCAACTGTGTAGGTACAATTTTCGGGCGTAGGTAGGTACGTCAATTAGAAAACAAATTTAATACGAATTTCGATAATTTTTAACTGTGTATAACATTATAATAATATGCAGTGGCGTATTTACGGGGGGGTCCATGGGGTCCGGACCCCCCCCCATTGATTCGTGTCTCGTACATGTTAAATGTTGTGCAGTTTTTACATGATTAAAAAACAAATTTTATCACACGATTTTACGGATTTTATAAAAAATTGTCGAAGCTATAGTTATATCAACATTTTCAATAAATATCGTGATTATTTTTATCAGTTGGGTACCGAAAATGGTTGAAAAATACCAAGTTCATTTTTTAATTCAAATATTTTGTAGTTTTGTACATTGCCAGTATCTACAACCAGGGATTGTAACCTTTATGTTTTTTTCGGTTTCGGTTTCGTTTCGGTTTTTCAAAAAAATATTTTTAAGGTTTCGGTTTTAATTATAAATTTCAAAAATATGAAATTGAGGTTGCGGTTACGGTTGTGGTTTATACCGGTTTAAACCTGTTACAAAAAAAAAAAATATTTAAACATTTTAAGCGATTATAGAACCGTACTAATACAACCAAAAAATATGTATAGGTACCTACAGATAAACCTGGTAGTTTTCAACCAAGTCTAGGGATAGACAGCTCTTTTAACAATCAAAAACCGTATGATAACATATATTCCAACTTAAAATTACAACTAACAAACTTATGCTTTAGTATTTACATTTTTACTTAGTTAACAATTATTGTTGTAAACTTCATTAATGTGTTGACTATTAACGACAGAGACGATTAAAATATCACCACAACTCAATACAAAAACTTTCAGATGATTGATGTTGATTGTTGAGAGTAAAGATTCTAAATTGGAAGGTAGGCGTAGCACTCATTTTGGTTTAATATTAATACTTATTAGTATTATAATTCTCAAATAACAGTGCCGAGGCCTAAGAGTCTATTATGATTTAGGTTGAGACTTAAAAATTAATAAAATATAATACATATTTTATAAGCTTTCTTTTACAAGATTTTATATTTTAACAATATAATAATAATTTTTATATTCATAAAATACATATTATTATAATGTAACCATACTATTTTTTTTTGCGTTTTGAAGATGGGTTAGTAGTTCCAGATGTTTCAGTATGACTTCCTTCCCCTTGACTCATAGTGACCTAACCGAAAAAAACCTTTAAAAACCGAAAAAATTGAACTTTAAAAATTAGGGTTAGGGTTTTGGTTAGGTTTTTTAAACGTTTGAAAATAAAGGTTTCGGTTAAGTTACGGTTAATAATTAACACAAGGTTCCCGGTTCTATAACCGGTTATTTTCGGTCCGGTTACAGTCCCTGTCTACAACCACTCCAAAGAGATCTTTTTCAAACTTTTTAAGGTTGAAAAGCTATCTAAGATCAACTATGAATGGAAGTAGGTACCTAATGTAATTTAGGAAATATTTGTAT